CCCGGGTGCCCCCCCCCCGCCAGTGCAACGATGTTGCCGGCGGCAGCTCGCCCCCTGTGGGGGCCGTGTCTCAGGCTTCGAGGCGCTGCGCTCCGCCTCGCCAGGTACCCAGGGACCCCGGGGCGCCAGGGTCGGGCAGGCGACTGTGTGGGGAGGCGGCCACCCTACAGCGTCCGGGCCTGGCTCGCCGGGTCCCGTCGGGGCCATGGGGGCTAAGGATGTAGGACGGTCCCCAGGTGACCTTGGCGTGTCTCCACCCCTGTCCGGGTTTCAGTTTCCTCTGCTGCAGGGTCGCGCCAGAGTGCCTGGTGTGGTGGACTGGCCATGAGTTTGCGACGTGCAGAAGCCCGGTGGCGTTTGCCCCCGTGGGTTGAGGGCGTCCATTCTGGCCCGAGCAGTGGTCTGGGTGTTACTAGGTGTGCATGTGTGTGATTGGTCCTGCCGACCCCTGGGCGGGGACTCGGAGTCTTTTCCAGCCCAAGTGGTCTTCTACCCAGCCCCTGGTCTCTGCAACCCCTTCCAGGCCTGAGAGCTCTGTTTGAATGGGGGGTGGGCAGGCAGCAGGTGCCCAGCGTGTGTGCAGCGCGGCAGATGAGAAGCAGCAGCCACCGCAGGGGCGAGGCCCTGGCTGGAGCACCCCTGGATAACGCCCCCAAGGAGTATCCCCCCAAGATCCAGCAGCTGGTCCAGGACATCGCGAGCCTCACTCTCCTGGAGATCTCGGACCTGAACGAGCTCTTGAAGGTGTGGTGAGAGGCCGACGCTGGGGAGGGCCGGGGCCCTGGCCTGGCTGTGTGGAGAGGGCGCTCCCTCGGGCCGGCGTGCAGTTCGCTTCTGACCCCATCCTCCGTCCTGCAGAAAACGCTGAAGATCCAGGACGTGGGACTCATGGCAGCAGGTGCCACGGTGCCTGGTGCTGTTCCTGTCCCCGCAGCCCCCGAGGTGAGCCTGGGCCTCGGGTCACATGACCACTTTTCTCTAGTCCCCGCATGCGCCGAGGGTGCGTGGGTCCTGGCTTTTCACCCGAGGGGAACGCGGTATGCCAGCAGAGGGCAGAAAGGGGGAGGTTGCATCCAATGGCAGGATCTTGTGCAGCGGTGGAGAAGCCCGGTTGGGAGTGGGTCATAGTCCCGAGGGAGGGGGAAGGGGCTGACTGCGAGGCGCCACCTGAGGGAGGGTTCCAGGAGCTGAGGAAGAGCACTAGGCAGAGGACCCGGCTGGAGATGGCAGCCTAGCAGAGCGGGCCAGTCTGTGCAAAAGCCAGGTGGCCTGTAGCCACACGTGCTATCACGGGGTCCCTTCCGCCTCTTTAATTTAGACATGTCCTCAGCTTTTGCCCCAAACTGAGGAGCCCCGGCCGGGTTGTACAGCCGGCCGTACCCCGGGTGCGTCCTCAGCCTCTTCCCCTAACTGAGGAGCCCCGGCCGGGTTGTACAGATGGGCCATGTCCCAGGCGAGTGGTCTCCATCAGCCCCAAGGAACAGGAAGGTCAGGCCGAGCATGTGGGGCGAGGTGGGCTTACCCTGCAGTCTGCACTGGAGGGCTTCGGGGTATGCACGGGCGGTGCAGCAGTGACACCCGAGACCAGGCCGGATCCATGTGGCGACCACAGCTTGAGTCCCCGGGGCTGCAGGACCAGAGGGAGGAGAGCTGCACACAGACCCTGCAGAGCAGCAGTCCCAACCTTGTTGACACCAGAGCCCAGCTCGTGGGAGGCAGTTTTTCCACTGGGGTGGGGGGCATGAGGTACTCTCAGGATGGCGAGCACGTTAAACTCCAGCTAACAGCTCTCCCAGGAGCAGCGCTTACAGCCATGCCCAGCTAGATTCACGGCCCCAGTGCGGCTTAGATCTTAGCGTGTTCCCCAGCCGGTCCGCACTCCCGTGAGCACACATAGCCCATCAGCCAGGAAGCTGGGCGAGGTGTAACAGTGCGGCGAGGGAGTGCTCCAGCACAGCCCTGTCAGCTGCTGCATGGCCCTGTTCCCAGCCACCACAGACGGCCTGCTCCAGGTGCTGGCAACCTGCCACAGTGGGTACATGCACACGCTCTCCCACGCACGTACTTGCTTGGGATTTTAAAAATGAGGGGTCAGCAGGTGGCGTGGTGGTTAAGGCACTGGACTCCCACATGACCAGCTGTGGTTCAAGTCCTGGACCTGGGGGCTTGTTTTCTTGCTTTCTCTCACTCACTCTGTCTCTCTCTGGTCAAATATAAATACAAATAAATTAAATTAAATTAGGTGAGTTTTTTTAAGGAATTGTTTTATTTAACTTTATTTATTTATTTATATTTAATTTTATTTATTCATTTATTTATTTTAATTTGACCAGAGAGAGAGACACATACACAGAGAGGGAAAGTGAGAAAGCAAGCTACCAGGTCCAGGACTTGAACTGTGGTCAGCCATGTGGGAGTGTCCAGCACCTTAACCACCATGCCACCTGCTGGTCCCTAAATGATTATTTTAAAAAAATTAAAAACAACAAAAGAGAACTCACAGCCAGCCCATACTAGGAGCACCCAGCTGCTGGGACACGCCCCTGCTGGTGCCGGGAGGCTGGAGGGCAGGGCTGTCGGGCTGTCCCAAGTCTGGGCTCAGCTCCCTACCCTGAGTTACAGGTTTTGAGGGGTGTGGGAAGAGTGTGGGAAGGAGCACATGGCCCAGCTAGCCACCGTTGGTGCTGGAGCCAGATCTAAACCCGGTGAGTGGGGGAGGGGGAGCACCATCTCAAGGCATCGGAAGGTGCGGCTGTCTTTTAAGTTTCCCTGTCAAAAGTGAGCCGTGACTTCCTGATGACCCACTAGTTGAGGCACTGACTGGGACGCAGTGTGACCTCCAACTGCAGTCTTTGGGAGGCTGTCGGGCTGGGGGTCCCCCTGGCCCCGCCTGCATGTCCCTTGGGAGCTTCTCACCCTGTCCCCACTTTCCTCTCCCCAAGGAGGCAGAAGATGACCTCCCCAAACAGAAAGAGCGGACGCACTTCAGTGTCCGCCTGACAGAGGCCAAGCCGGTGGATAAGGTGAAGCTCATCAAGGAGATCAAGAACCACATCCAGGGCATCAACCTGGTGCAGGTGGGCCGGGCCGGGCCGGGCCGGGCGCCCGCGGGTGCTACAGCCACAGCACGGCTCCTGGGCCAGGCGCGGTCAGCACAGCATAGCCCTGGGTTTCTGGCTTCCCTCTGGCAGGCCAAGAAGCTGGTGGAGTCCCTGCCGCAGGAGATCCGCGCCAACGTGGCCAAAGCAGAGGCTGAGAAGATCAAGGCAGCCCTGGAGGCGGCGGGCGGCACGGTGGTTCTGGAGTAGCCCCACTCCGGCAACGGCAGCCCTGGGCCCTGGGACCCACCTGTCTCAGCACCAAGGCGGGGGGCAAGGGCCACAGTGACGGCGTGGCTGGTCCATCCAGGAGGGACACTCGGACTCCATGGGGAGGGAGGGCCAGCGCCACTGCAGGAGAGCCCCGGGGGAAGGCTCCGGACGAGCTGTGACTGGACGTGCCCTGGCCAGGCAAATACACAGCTGAGGTCCTGCGTGTGCCACATGCTTGCCGTGCTGTGTCCTGGGGCGGTGGGCCCTCCCAGCTGCAAGGCCATCTTCCCCGGGGCCCGGTGCAGCCAGCAGCCTTCCTGCCTGGGGCAGCAGCCCGTGTGAACCGTTAGGTGCCCAGTTCCCCATTACCAGCAGGTCGTCCCATGACAGGTGCCTTAGAACCTGCGGAGCAGACCCACCTAGGCCACAGGGCTGAGTGTTGTCCCTCGGGACCTGAATGGGAAGAGGTGCCAGGCCAAGCCTGAGCCACACAGGCCCCGGTGGCCACCTAGGCTGCTGCCCTCTGCTGAGCACGGGCACACTGCCTGCCTCTTTCCTTAGCACCTTCAGGTCCCTGCCAAGAAGCGGGAACACTGGCTGAGAGGGGAGGCCTGGGTGCTGTGGGCCTGCTGAGGCGGCCCTGACCACCCTGCAATGGGCGGGCCCTGGAGGCCCCCAGCCTGCAGCTGCCCTTCCTGGGGTGAATGCAGACTGCCCCCTGCTGGTGTCTGCCAGACAGCGCCTCTGGAAGGCTTCATGAGCTGCAGGGTTCCTGGACCGGGCAGCTGGCTAGCTCATCCACAACACCACAGGGCTTCTCTGCACTCGTGACGTGCCACCATTAAGGCCCCAAGGCAGCTGGGAAGACCTGGTCTTGTCCTGGATCCTGCCTTGGGCAGTGCTGGCCAGGCTGTCTCAGGTTCTCCCTGTGTTGTCTGCCCTGCTGTGGCTGGAGGTGGCCTGGTGTGACCAGGGTAATCCCTGGGCTCCTGCAGCTCCTTGACCTTGAACCCTCAGCTGTTGGGACGTGGCTAGCCTGGCATCCCAAGTTAACACTCAGGTTTCGCCAGGCAGGCCACCAGTCAGCCGAGAGGTCTGTGCAACATCTGTGTACCCAGCACGTTGGCAGTCCCCGCCCCCCACTCTGGGCCCTGCAGCCTATGCTGGGTCAGACCTACAGGCCTCCTGTGGCTCCAGCCTTCCAGCCAGAGGAAGTCCAGCCAGGCCGGAGCAGCTTCCAGAGCTCCAAGGGGCCACAGAGTGAACAGTCGTCTGCTGAAGGCCTGGGTGGTGCAGGGTATGCTGTGGACCACAGCCTCACAGCCTGGTCCAGGGTCCTGCAAGGCCAGTGGGCAGTGCAGTGGGCCAGCCGAGGAGCTTTTTAAAAAATGCTGCCAGGGGCTGGCAGGTGGTGTGGTTAAGGGCACTGGGCTCCCACACAGCGAACTGTGGTTTGAGTCCCGAACCCAATGGCTTGCTTTCTCACTCTGTCTCTCTGGTCAAATTTATTTATTTTAAAGAATTTTTATTTTATTTATTCATTTATCTATTTTAATTTTGGCCAGAGAGAAAAAGTGAGAAAGCAAGCTACCCGGTCTAGGACTCAAACCGTGGCCGTCCATGTGAGAATGTCCAGCACCTTAATCATTATGCCACCCACTGGTCCCCAAATTTAAGTAAGTAAAGTTAAATAATGTTTTAAAAACAACACTCCCAGGAGACGGGTGCGCTTCTGGCAGGGAGGGGTCCAGGACCTCCACTGTCCCTCCAGTGGGTGCAAGGTACACACACACCCAGTGGTTTTCACACCGGGGCCGGACTTGAACCGCAGGGGATGGCCACACCACGACATTCTCCGGTTTTGGGTGCACACAGGCCGGTTCTTTGCAAGCCACCAGGCCCAAGACTTGACCTACACAGTCCACCACGTGGGACCCAGTGCCTTAACCATGCCCCACTGGCCCTAGCTCTGGGTTTTCCACCTGGTGCGTCATGGCTGTGACTTCTCCCCACTGTTCCGTGACCACGGGCCCCTTTGGTCTCCAGTCCAGCTCACTGTGGTGGCAGTCCCAGGGCACCCCTCAAGACCCAGGTTCAGGGCATGATTCTGGGCTGGGCACCGTCCAGGCCAGCTTTTCGTGTTCCCAGCCCAGGCCTTGGGAAAAGGAGAGCAGTGGCCCCCTGGGGCTCTGGAAGCTGCCGCTGAGTGGTGCCCCGCGGGCCTCCAGCGTGGCTGGGCTTCCCAGCTTTCCTAATGGCCTCCTGCCTGGTTCTGTTATGAGCAAGCAGGGAGACGGTGCCACACAGCCACTGGTTTGGGGTGGGGGGGTGTGGGGGCAAGGCGGGAGACGTGCCCCCCCAGCCACTGGTTTGGGGTGGGGGGTTGTGGTGACTGGCCAAGCTGGGAACAGCCTGAAGTGGCCTGGGGACCTGGGCTGGCCATCCAGCAGGGGCACCTTGGGCTCAGGCTCCCCTGTGAGATCCCAAGGAGACCTGGATTGTGGTGGCCTGTCGCTAGCCTCTAAGTCTCGCGCGGTCGGGGCCCACCTCCCGCCTTCTCCAGAAAGGCTGTCCCGAGCCGAACCGGGCTCCCCGACCCCAGCGAGTGTTCCCGTGAGTTGGGTGCACCTGGTCTTTCCTAACGGCCTCCTGCCTGGTTCTCGGTTATGAGCAAGCCAGCGCGGCGCCCTTCTGGGCGGGGGCGGTGCGGAGCACGTGGCTCCGGCTGGTGGTGAATGGCCCAAGTCAGCCCGTGGGTGGCACCACTGGGTGCAGGGTCGGGGCC